TATTAAATTTAATGATGTTCAATTCTCTTTTTTAATGCAGACTGCATTAAACCATCCTCGTTGCCCAATGTCGGCATACGGCAGTGTTTTCCACCCTACTTGGTTGGTACCAAGTGCACCTACTACTGTATGCGTGGCTTCGGAAGTGAGTCGGGTGATACTTACACCAGCTGCACCTCTGATCGAACTTGGAGCGGCAAACCCCCTAACTGCAAACGTGGTTAGTATATTGAAGCTATTTTGTTTGAACTATTCGTCTGGAACACGTACGTGAAAAGTATGTGTTACATGGGCTGACCTTGTGACGAGCACGTGGACTATTCAAAGATCAGTGCCACATAAGCATTAACTGCTCATATGTACGTACCCACATACGGAATACCATTACGACCCATAAACGCAATGTTAAGTTATGGTGACCATGACACAAGTATGCGAAGACACAGACAACCCCCTCCACCATAAACATTTTTAACAATACATTATCATTTTTTTCATCGATGTAATGGATTCTCTAGAGTATCTTAAGTGTCTGATTTCTTACATCCGTAAATAATTTCATCAGGTTTTAAACGACTGAATAGCAAAGTTCTTTTTATCACAACCATTTTTTTCTCACGAGCTCGAGCCGACGTTTCAATGACTGTCTGTCATCTTCATCAGGGCAATTCTGACTGGTTTACTGTGCACTGACACTAGATGTTACTTGGTGAATAGTGCACTTAAGGTGTTGCATAGTTCATAGTGCACTAAAGCTAGTTTATTTTCTCTTTACAATACATTCCGGAACGTAGTGTAATTGTGACATGCATAGGCATTTTTACATCATAGGGAAATATGCGGTTCCAAATGTAAAGTGTTTCTATATATAATATAAGATTTGTTAACTGATTAATTTCTTCCTTTTTACGCAGCCTGTCGTGCACCACGCTCTTCAAAACGTGTCGACATAAAAGGATGCAGCGCCCCCTACCTGGCTGGTGAGAAGTGCACCTTCCAGTGTAAGAGAGGCTATGCACGTCTGTTGGGTGACACTGAAAGGACGTGTACTCATGATGCAGCTTGGAGTGGCGATCCTATCACGTGCATGAAAGGTAAACGTAAAGCTGTTCTAATAAAGAGTGCAGATACAATTGTAAAGATGGTTATAACTTGATGTTACAAATTTGGATGTACATTTAAATGTAATAGCTCACACAACGTTAATATCTAAAGTTTGACTGTAAAAAGTATAAAACATGTTTTATTCTTTATTATAGAATGCGAATCTGCTCCGACCATCCCCAACACCATCAAGAAGAATTGTTCTAAGACAGAGTGCAAATACGAGTGTAAAGATGGATACAATCGGGGTTCTGGAGACACCCTTTTGCATTGCAACAGCAGAGGAGAATGGATAGGCAAAAAGCTCAACTGCACCTAAACTGTCAGTCAGAAACAGTCAACATATATTTGTTGACATGTCAACACGTAGCCTGTGTTTTGTAGACAGGCATTGTCTATAAGAGTGGTTACATTGCAATAGTCGTTAGAATGCAATTTACTTATGTTTCCCGAAGAAAAACATAATGTTTTTTGTTCCTGTTTCTTCTTCTTCTCCAAACAAATAAGGTCAATGACCTGAACCAGATGTCTGTCTCCATGGTAACTAGTATTGGGTTACATCATGTTGCAATTTTATAGCAGGAGGTATTTAGACTCCTGTCACCACATAATGAATCTGTTTGAATGGGAATTAACATAGCAGACCAAATGTTAAAGTAAACAATCTGCATTTGCTTTGCAAATATTAATTTATTTTCTAGTTTGTGTATTATTATTGAATTTTTTTTCTGCAAAACTGCGACTCCGAAGTATATGTGAAAAGTGAGACTAATATACAGATTTAAATATAATACAAAGAATTACATGTTTGAAAACATTTAATCAAGGTTGGAACTAAAGCATTCTGATAAGTAACAATCGTTAAAGCTGCTAGGGAATAACAACCGTTGTGCCTTACTCAACGAAACGTGAAGTAAACATATTACAAACTAAAATAACAAAATACCTGTACATGTTTGAATGGCTACAAGGTGATTATGGTTTTAAGAATCTTAACGTTCTTTTTAAATGTTAAAAAATGTATGAATGTTTCGGTTTTTATTATAACTTGAAATTCTTGGTCCCTACAGGGGCTCCGTTTTTGTTCGTGTTTGAAAATGTACGAATGTCTTTTTCCATGTTTAAAAATATTTAAAAAGTTTCGATGTTGATTTTGACTTAAAATTATTGGAAATATTTTCTATACCGGTCTCCTTATAGGGGTCCCGTTTTTTAAAGCTAATAAATATTGCATGAGTTAAGTAAAGAAATATTGGGTTTTGGAGAATGTTTATTCCAGCAAAACTCATGGTTATTTCAATATGTTAATCAATAAATTTTATTTCGTACATGAAACGTGTTCATTTGTATGTTTAACGGAATGTTGTAAAGACAAGCAGTTTTAGTCATGTTAGAGTTATTATCAAGAATGTGGTGACTTTTACTGGCGTATGCCAGCTTTCGATGTGCTCAAAAACGCATGCGTGATGCATCGAATTTAAAGGGTAATTGATATACATGTATGTATATATATTTTTTTCTTCCTTAATGACATTGAAACCCTTAATTCCTGTTTCGATATCAAAACTTTACAGACAAATGTTCAGGAAATACCACTAGCATCCTTTTGGATTTTGATTTATATCTATATGTATTGTACACGCTTTAATAATGACAAAGTCCGTTCGTTTTTTTTTAATATACTGTATTCATGTCAAACTATTTGACTTATATCACATATATTCCTATTTGTCACAGATGTATGAATTCCAGTATGAAACTGCCAAAGCATGGTTAAGTGAAAAGGCTTGATTTTGACATAATGCTAAATTCAACAGTGTATAACATAAGCGTATAACATAAGCGTATCTCAGTTGACTACTATGTTATACAACAACAATCTGTCATTATGGTATACGTTTGACTACGATCACAGTCTATTGTAACTCCTTTAATGAAAGTTTTTAATAATTTTTTAACATCTGCGCCAACCGTTTTTAATGACCGTGTAATGCGGCAGATCAATTGAATTATATTTTTTTTTTCTGATTTGCAAAAAAAAAGGTTCTGGTTCTGAATCTACTAAAATGCTCATATTTTGCCCCCAATAGTGGGAAAAGTCCTTTTCTTCCTAGTTCCTGTAGTTTTTCCATGTATCAATACAGCAGTTTAATTAAAAGTTCAAACAAAATTCATTATTTAGATATTAACCAAGCCTTTTGTGTTGACTTAATGGCTCCTATTGTAGCGTTTGGGTCTATAATAGGATGACCATGCCTGTTTTTTGCCCAGTCTCTTTTAAAAAAAAATTAAATTTTTCAGATCAAAAATGAAATTGGTGTGGACTAAGTCGTCCATATAAAACTCCTAAAAGTGACCTTGATGTTTACAAAGTATGGTAGGGCATCATTTTTTTTGGCCGGGGCAACACTCAATGTTATGCTCTTATGAGGGGGGGGGGCAACCTGTCAAGCTCACCTGCATGTTTAACCTACACTTATTGTTACCCTCACATTTTCTTTACTTTAAAAAGAAATAAATTTGTGTTCCTGTAGAGATTGTCGTTTGCACTGTTTATTTTTACGACTAGTTCATTTCAAATACCCGATATAAGTCGGACGCGAAGAGGCTAATTATTGTTCAATACGGTGTACCTTAAACTTTTTATCATCGTCCACCATGTATTGTTTTTAACGTTATCATGGACCAACAGCGAATGATGACTAGAAAAAAAACATAACGCAATATATATATTTACAACAATATATTAACAGCGAATGTCAATCTTTTTATTTGCTATTAAAACATTTTAAATGTTTATACGTAATCTTTTGCTCGACCACTGCACATATTTCACTACTTATATAAATATAAGAATCATGTAAATCTCTTTCCATTGTAAATAATATGCGTATTATATCCTCAATGTTCATCAATGGACGTCACGGTTTTCTTCCGTTGGCAACTTTTTAACACTGATTGAAAAACGTACATGTATACGAGCTAGACCCAACTAATCTTGTGTAATGACTCGTATAATTATAGAAGCTTATTGGTATCAGTCACAGCAAGTAAATTTTATGGATGACATCCCCCGCAGACCCCAAATCTAATGCAAGAGGGCGAAAAAAAAACAAGACGGGCTAAAAAAAAGATTCCTACATTTTCAAATTTGACATCATATCTGCCATCCATGTTCTGGCATGGCAAAAAAACAGCTTTGCCCATTTAAAGTCACTCTATGTAGTTTTTTGACAATACAAAAAGTATATTTTTTATTCTTTTCTTTACATAGTACATTGGCTTAACCCATTAGTATTCCAAAATTATACTCCACAGCAAAAAAATACAACATCCTTGCTCCTTAGAAGCTTAGAAAACTGTGAATGATCTTCTATTCAACCTCTGGCCAAACCACACATATGGTATTGTCCACTCCCAGTGGTTTGACCTACATCCCAGTGGGGTGTCAGTTGATAGCTTACCAGTTTCTGAAAATTGTGAAATACCTAATCGTTTACCAGATTTTTAATCTCTTTTGAAGGGATAATGACCACAGTTTATTCCTGCCCAACAAAATACTCTAAGTTGATAATTATATTCCACCTCATGTGAAAGATATGAGTTTTGTCTAAGGAGGGTATATCTTGTGACATCTGCCCCTGTCTATCAAGCCTGGCATGCCCGGGCCAATTAGCCACCCCAGGGGGCAACCCCTGTATGTTGTTGTTGTTATCCTGAGCAAACCGGTGGCACCGGGAACTGAAGAAGGACTGTTTGAACGGACAAAATATACGAAAAAAATGTGAAATAATGACACAAATGTGTTGAAAAGTGATAGTAACTGCTAATAACACCGAAATTTAGTATAATTAGAATATTTCAATTTTTTGCCCAAAAAACTACATAGAGTGCCTTTAAGCCATGTTGACGACTGTCAGAGGGCAACAAAAGTTCTTGTTTTTATTTTAAAAATCAGGCAAAAATTAACTCGCACGCTGATGCCATCCACAAAATTGCTTGCTGTGGCCTTAACTATATTACATATACTATGATACAGTATTTGTTTCATTTTCTACACGCTACTTTTTCTTGGTCTGGTAACAAATGAGGTCACACATCTTATGGTTTATCCAGTCTGCGCCCTTTTATACTACTAGTATATTATTAACAAATTGCAATAAATCGTCTTTAATGCACTTCCTTAGAACGTATACTTGCGGGTTTGTCACCAAAATGTAAGCATATCAGACTAACCATAAGAAATAAATGATGATAATAAAAATGTTAAATCTAAGAAGACAGAGATATATGGAATATTAGATTTTGCTGTTGATTTGTGAAGTTATTAATGCTACCAAACCGTATCCCCTTTTAAAGTGAAATGCATTGGTGTTATCTCTGTAATATGTCAGTCTATGTAATAATTTTTTTTTTATTTCCATGTTAAAATTGTGATCAATTTTCGCATTGTAAATTGCAATGCAATCTAATGAAAGTATAACATTTTAAAAGTAAATCTTACTGATCATGCACATTATATTAGGTACATGCAACTTAATATGTGATAAAAACAAACTATAACCAAATATCCAGATAGATATATCACTTACACAATTAAATTTGCATACATTATTTTTATCAACAGTTTCTTGTTAGGAATGGGGCACATACCCGCATACCTACCTCCAGGCTAAGTTGTTTTAAAACTTTGGCAGTTATGTCAGCACTTACGAAGCGACTTGATTTAGAGGTAATTTTTTTTGTCAACAACTTCTCCCTGTAGATTTAAGTTTTTGGTGATTCCACACCTTCGTAAAGGGAGTATTGCTGTGATACACGTGCACCTGTGTCATATGTTAGATTACTTACATCAAAAGATTTGTCATTTGTTACTGTAGTAATTGTGGTATTTATGTTGAATTCATCGTCAATGATGGCCTGACACTGACCCTGCTCTTCCTGATTATGTTCAGTCATATCTTCATACTGGTTACCAGCACTAGTTACTACATTAACTGGCATGTTTGTGTTGTGTTCAATGATGTCCTGAGACTGACCCTGTCCTGTCTGATTATGTTCAGTCATATCTCCATACTGGTTACCAGCACTAGTTACTACATTAACTGGCATGTTTGTGTTGTGTTCAGTGATGTCCTGAGTCTGACCCTGCCCTGTCTGATTATGTTCAGTCATATCTTCATACTGGTTACCAGCACTAGTTACTACATTAACTGGCATGTTTTTGGAGTGTTCTGTGATTGCCTGAGACTGACCCTGCTCTCTCTGATTGTCTTGAGTCATATCTTCATTCTGATTATGAGCAGTAGTTACTACATTAACTGGCATGTTTGTGTTGTGTTCAGTGATGGCCTGAGACTGACCCTGTCCTGTCTGATTATGTTCAGTCATATCTTCATATCGATTACCAGCAGTAATTACCACAATAGCTGGCATGTTTATGTAGTGGTGGGTGATGTCCCGAGACTGACCCTGCTCTCTCTGATTGTCTTGAGTCATATCTTCATACTGGTTACCAGCAGTAGTTACTACATTAACTGGCATGTTTGTGTTGTGTTTAGTGATGGCCTGAGACTGACCCTGTCCTGTCTGATTATGTTCAATCATATCTCCATACTGGTTATTACCAGCACTAGTTACTACATTAACTGGCATGTTTGTGTTGTGTTCAGTGATAGCCTGAAACTGACCCTGTCCTGTCTGATTATGTTGAGGCATATCTCCATACTGGTTACCAGCACTAGTTCCTATATTAGCTGGCATGTTTATGTAGTGGTGGGTGATGTCCTGAGACTGACCCTGCTCTCTCTGATTGTCTTGAGTCATATCTTCATACTGATTATGAGCAGTAGTTAATACATTAGCTGGCATGTTTTTGGAGTGTTCTGTGATTGCCTGAGACTGACCCTGTCCTGTCTGATTGTCTTGAGTCATATCTTCATTCTGATTATGAGCAGTAGTTACTACATTAGCTGGCATGTTTGTGTTGTGTTCAGTGATGGCCTGAGACTGACCCTGCTCTCTCTGATTGTCTTGAGTCATATCTTCATACTGATTATGAGCAGTAGTTACTACATTAACTGGCATGTTTTTGGAGTGTTCTGTGATTGCCTGAGACTGACCCTGTCCTGTCTGATTATGTTCAGTCATATCTCCACACTGGTTACCAGCACTAGTTACTACATTAACTGGCATGTTTGTGTTGTGTTCAGTGATGTCCTGAGACTGACTCTGTCCTGTCTGATTATGTTGAGGCATATCTATATCTTCATACTGGTTATTGTCACTACTAGTTACTACACCAGCCGTGGTGTTTTTGTTAGATTCAGTGACTGCGCAAAATTGATCCTGATTGTTTTTTAACACAGTAGATGCTGTAAGCATGTTTCCTGTTTCAACTTTTACATTTCGGCCTAAACGAGGATTCCTAGCCCTCCTCGTATTGCATCTGTAGATGAAGATAGCGGCACTAATAAGGACAATACCAGCTACTGGACCCAAGATAGAGGCAATGCGAGAATATACGGGGCAACCGTTGCACGGTTTATGGTAACTGTCTGAAGTTATTGCAAGAGGTACAGATGTAGTTAGTGGTGCTCTTGTTACTGAATTCTCTGCAAGGCGCGCTTTTGAGCAATCACTAGTTATGTGATATTGAAATTTAGTGGTGCAATGACTGCCAAATTGGTTACCTAATTGGTCAGTCGTTGTTACATATGTGGAACCTATATTATACGATGTTGGAAAAGCATCGCTTTCTGTATTGCCCGAAGATGATGTTGACAAGGCAAATTTGGTTGATGTGATTGAGGTATAGCTTTCAAAGGGCAAGATTGATAAGGTAGTCCCTTCACAGATCATGTCTTCAGGATTAACCTCTATAAGCCTTTGTCCATGGAATTTGGCAGGTTTATCACAAGTGATCTGTTTTTCAAATGTAGCAGACCCAGTCATGTTCAGCCTAAAGAGGCGCATGCGACAGTCGCAATGCCACGGGTTTTTGGAAATGTATACCGTTTTAATTGCTGTCAACATACTATGGGCAGACAGGGAAAGAGCAGTTATCCGGTTTTCCTCAAAAAACAAACTTGTTAGCTTGGGTATCTTAGTGAATGTAGCTGACTGGATAGAAGTTATCTTGTTACAAGACAGGTTCAATAAACTGAGTCTTGGTAGATTTGAAAATGTGTCTGGCTGGATGGAAGTTATCTGGTTTGAGGATAGTTTCAAGAGAAAGAGTCTCGGTAGATTAGAGAATGCACCTGGTTGGATGTAATTTATCTTATTGTCAGACAAAAACAACTTAAGAAGAGCGGGTAGATTTGAAAATGCACCTGAGCGTAGGTCTATTATCTTATTATATTCCAGGAACACCACTCCCAGCGTAGCATGATCTGAAAATGTACCGGGTCTGATGTTGGTTATCATGTTTTTCTGCAGGGTCAAAGAAAAAAGTTGGGGCAAATTTGATAACGCACCGGGCGAAATGCTAGATATCCTATTATTTCCCAAGTTCAATCGTTTCATGGATTTTGGAATGTTCCGGGGGAAACTTGCCATTTTATTATTTGCAAAATACAAGAAAGAGATGTTTTTTGGAAGACCCCCGGGGATGCTGGTAAAGTCAGACCCATAACAGTTGCAGCAAGGGGTTTCTTTTGTAAGCCAAAATGGATTTATTATGCAACGGTGTATATACGAACACTGGCATGCAGCCTCTGGCACTTTGAATTCCTTTAGGATGATGAGAAGGAAAATCAGCATGTATCTCAGCATTCCTCCCATGTTGTCTTGTCACCTAAACAGAACAAGGATCAGGAATTATTATCATTAATCCACGAGGTCACAGAGATGGAAGGAAACGTACGGTGAATGCAACTGAAATACGGGCAAAATGTCAAGATTCTTACAACTGGTGGATGTACAAAAAACTAAGTATGTAATTCCAGCTCATAAAAGAGCAAGGAATAGCCATACCTTATCCCTTTTCTGACACATCGTTTGTAAGGTCACATATAAAGTGTTTGTAATTTCCTTCGTCAGAAGTGTAAACATTAGTTTGCTTGAGTTTGGGAGACTGTAAATTAAGGCCCAAATCCAACTTAGGCCCCTATTCCACATTCGACGCCAAAAACGTCCTCAAATGGAATTTTTACGGCGACCTCTCTGTGCTCTCTGTGCGACCAAAAACACAAATGTCAGCAACGTTTTGGTCGACCAACGATTTCACAGTTCACTGAGCGAATTGCAGAAACAGATAACGATATTTTGTACGTTATGTCGTTTTTACAGTCATTTTTGTACATCCTGCATCATATTCAAGTTATGACATCAAGGGTGTAAGACCCCCGTTTTACTAGGACGGCCCTTCATCTGCGTTCCTTTGGCGCTGTTTCAGCGCTCTTGCCAATATCAGTGTGTACAGAGAGCGCAACTAAGCGGAATGGGGGTATCATCCAGGCCCCCGTTCCACTTAGTGGCGCTCTCACGGCGCTCTCTCTGCGACCTGAAATTGTCCAGAGCGCCGAACTCCACAAAAAAAGTGCTCAAGTGGAATCTCTCCAGCGACCTCTCTGCGCTCTCTGTGCGACCAAAAACTCAAATGTCAGTAACGTTTTTGGGTGATCAACAGATTCATAGCTAACTCAACGGATTACGGAAATAGAGAACGAAATTCTGCACAGCAAGACGTCCCTTTGACAGAGGAAGTGGTTTATTTGTAGGGATCCCTGGTAGAAATCTGACGACGACAAAATGCCACGTTGCAGTACCACAAGGAACGGTAGGGTACCCAAAAATATAATCATTTCAAGGTCTTATCAAATGGTACCCACATACCAAATACCAGGACAAGACATTATTGCATTAATTTAAATCTTAAGCCCTTACCTATAGCTAGAACCTACCTATTTTAATATTTAGAAACCAAATTACTGAAGTTTGCATGCCTTTCAGAAACCCGATTCAATGGGAGCACAAAATTAGCTGATGTAAAATAAATCTTTGGTATTGTTACCTAATATGTGTTTGGTGATTCTAATTATGCTATTTTGACATAATCATATATAGAAATTTATAACCCCCGTGTAAATAGGGTTAAAGTTTAAGTTGACAAGGACAAATAGATACAAATACACAGTTACAAAATAACGTAAAACAGGACAGAATATTCAAAGGTAATGTTGCGCTGATTGTATACGTAACACAATGTATTTTGATGGCTTTGCGTGGGTTGAAATGAAGGACACTTTGCTTACATATACATAGAATGATTTAAGTCTGATCTGTACGTGCACTATTTGCGCAGCTAAAATCATATTCCAGGACATTGAAGGCTCGCCATTTCGTAAAGTCCGGTTCCAAGATCCAATATTATCAGGTAATAAAGTAACAAAATCAATTGATCTCAATTCTGGTAACCATTTCAATTCATTACCTTCGCCAAGAAGGTTATGTTTTTCAGAGGCGTCCGTGTATGTGTGTGTGTGTGTGTGTGTGTGTGTAAACACGATAACTTGAGAAGGCTTTAATGGATTGACTTCATATTTGGTAGGTAAGTAGGTCTTGATAAGACCTCGAAATGATTAGATTTTGGGCTCCCTTGCGGCTTCTAACGGTACTGCAGCTGAATTTCCGGTTTTGATATCTCATGATCTGGACAAGCTGGGGTGACGAAATTGAAATGGTAAGTAGGCCTTGTGCTCGGGAAGAAGTGACGCAAGTTTGGGCTCCCTAGCGGCTTGCTCAGGATTTACAGTGACATTTCTTTGAAAATATTCAAAAGAGGATAATTCAAGAACCCGTGGATGGATCATGATTTTTGGTATGTAGGTAGCTTTTGATGGAGAATATGATCAACTGATATAATTTATGCAAATGAGGATGCTATTTGCATAATCAGGAGGAATCAGCTTTGTCAGTCATAAAGATTTATATCATTTGGCGAAGGTATGAGATCGTGGGACTCTAGTTTATTTTTAGGTTACCAGAGGAGTACCCATTAAAAAGTAAAATATTAGATTATAATGTGCACAAATGTGTGCGTAGTCCAGTGGTTAGTGATTCTGCCTCTGGACTAAAAGGTTAGAAGTTCGAATCCCGGATGATGTCGTTCACCCGACATACACGCTACTGTTTAGGATCGCAATCCTTAGGCGGGACGTTAAGCCGTGGTCGAAAAGAGCTAGGGAAATTTCTCCGGTACAATGAATTAATACTGTACATAGCGTCTGTCTTCTCTGTCACGACCAGTGGAAAAGAAGTTCTTCAATGAGCTATTAAACTGATTCGAGATCACTTTCTTACACTTTCACAAATACAGTAAACATTAAATGTACTGTCTTATACTACACTGTTTCCAGAAATTTATTGCACGTTTTGGCATGTATCAACACATCCTCTATTAATGGTGCTTAAGGGACGATTGAAAAGACCCTTTCATATGGCTCTTACTATAATGTATATCTAGCTCATCTTTCTCATTTGTGGACGCATTATATTTACACACCAGGCTTTACAATGTATCTATTCCGTCTATACATTGAAAATACTTACCTTCAAGGTTGATTTTGACTTACCTTTCAGTTTTGTCAGAATATTTTTAGATGACACCTTCTTGTCAAAAGCCTACGACGCCCTTTTTCGTGTCGTCTTTGCTGCTGTGCTCGTGGGATATCTGCTCCAGTAGCTGATCCGCAATAGAACATAAGAAACTATTTCACATTCATATGACGCTGTTAATTGTCTGGATCTGAGTTTTAGAATATTAACATTTTAATAATGAATAAACATAGTTTGGTGTTTGCTCAAAATCTTACTCATTGCATTGTATTGTTTTAGGCCGTATCATGCCATTACTGTCCAAAATTTCAAAAGAAATAAAGAAAGAGTGAGTTGGAATTGTAACTAAAAATCATAGAATGCAACTAAACGTGGGTTGAGAAATTTAGGTATGAGACTATATTGTTTTATACATAATTTAACGATTGTCTGCATCTGCTAATTTGAATATTAACATCGAGTAGGTTTACTCTCTGGTCCCATTCGCAATTGTGCAGCTGCGACCTATCCAGAAGCTTTAATCAGAAAAATGTATTGAAGTTTTCAGCAAAATGTTTAAAATGTATGAATAATGTTCTTTGTACTGATAAATTTCTTGCAATATACTTTTCATATCGCCTGTTTTTGGTGAAAACTCACTGGCCAGCCTGATAATCTTGGTTATTTGCCATATACAGTAAAAAGCCAAACAATATATCGGGTATTTCTTGACATTATATAACGAGGCAATTCTAGAGATATTTTTTTATTATTTACGTGCATTCGTAGAGAATATAAGTTTTACTAAAAATCTTGGGGACGCATGGCCGAGTCACGCACGAGGTCTTTTAAATGCCACCAAAACAACAGAGCAACAACGACATAGGAAAGATCAACATTTGTTTTCCCTGGTACGTTATTCCAGCTATGCTGTGTTTTTAACAAAGATTTTTTTTTTAGATTGGCACAGTTAGACAAACACATAACAGAATAAAATCATTTTATATAAATATCAAACCACTGTTATTGCAATGTATTTTTGTCTGCCATGTAAACAAGAATACCTGTCATTTAATCCACAAATTACGATTACGTTATGATTGTTACAATATAACTAAATACAACCGCCATAATTCGCCGTATAATAACATAATTATCATGATGATCTTAAGTTATTATTCAGAAAAAAAAAGGATTTACAGAAAACATCAGATACATCCCAGACATAAATTTGGCCAGTCAGTAATAGAGAGGCTACTAGTTTAAGAGAAATGATAATTTCTCAGCCCATTCATAACAGTCTATTTTTTAACAGTCTGGAAACTGACTGTTAGGTTGATTTAGTTACACAATAATGAATCCGACTGAACAGTGGAAGTGGGTATTTTGTGTGCTTAAGGTGTTACTTTATTTAAACAGGTTTTACTTCACATCCTAGAGGACGTACACAACTAAAGTTGGCTGAATAGGCTTTTTTCCGGGGGACGTATGAAGATACTCGGGCCAAGCAGGGATTCAAACCCAGTATTCAAAATCCAACTTACCTTTCAGTCTTGTCAGAATATTTTACTTGACACCTTCTTGTCAAGACTATACGAAGCCCTTTTCGTGTCCTCGTTGCTGTTGTGCCCGTGAGATATGTTCTTCAGTAGCTGATCAGCAATAGAACATAAGAAACTATTTCACATTTATATGGCGCTGTTGATTGTCTGGAGCCGATTTTTAGAATATGAAAATTTTAATAATAAATAATCATAGTTTGTTGTTTGCTCAAAATCTTACTCATTGCATTGTATTGTTTTAGGCCGTATCATGCCATTACTGTCCAAAATTTCATAAGAAATAAAGAAAGAGTGAGTTGGAATTGTAACTAAAAATCATAGAATGCAACTAAACGTGGGTTGAGAAATATAGGTATGAGACTATATTGTTTTATACATAATTTAACGATTGTCTGCATCTGCTAATTTGAATATTAACATCGAGTAGGTTTTCTCTCTGGTCCCGTTCGCAACTGTGCA